AAAGCAAAGTTGACATGCTGACCGGCTCCTTTTTTTTCTCTTAGTGTTACTAAATAAAACCCAACCCATTTTTGAAGTATCATTTATGTATAACTTCTTCTACCACTCAAATACCACACGCTTAAATGTTGCATAGCCTTGAGTACCCATCAAAAAGCTTTATTCTGTGTGGAGATGTTGCGTGTAGACATGAGTGATAGTAAAAAGCAGTGAAGTAGTGATCCAATTGAACTTACATTTCTTTGACGCCATTATTCAAATCGAAAATAGAACAGTTCCTCTGCAGTAACACTAAGAAAAATAACCTTCTGAATGCAGTGGCTTAGAACTTCATATCTTTATCAGACTATACAAGCGTTGCATGCTGTCTTGTATATGAATACCTGCCAACTGTATTAGAAGGGGATTGTGTGAGCATCCTAGAGGGAACTGGCCCTCTTCACTTTGCCGCCTCTCCGCCTCTATCAGTTGTAAGGTTTGGCCTTGCGTTCGCTCCAAACAATGAGCTAGGCCTCTGTAGACAGAACCCGAGTCATACACACACCTAGCCTTTTCAGTCTGCCATTAATCCACACACTCACACATAATATTCTCCTCTCCGTGTCCCTCTGTCACACTCCCGCTGACATGAGCATCACCATTTCTCCCTGTTTCTCTTTTTACTCTCTGTCTTGGACACAATCACTGTGAAACGAGGATTATACGATTTTCGAAGGAAACATTTATCGCAGAGCTAATATACTGTGATGTTGAACATTTCGACATATAGTGATGTTCAACAGATAGTGTTTAAATGTCAAACTTCTATGTCGTGCCCATCGTGTTGAATTGCACACAGAAATACTTGCACAGCGTGTTGCAGTTAATGTCGAATATCGCCAATCACTGCCAAAGTCTTGTTCATGTAATAAGAAAATTGCTTTAAAATTACCACTCCAGTGCCTGCACTTAATCACAATCTTCCCATGTAATTGTTACATCACTTTGAATCTGCTCGTTTATCATCTTGCATCACTCCCCAGCAGCATCACCTTTTCACCTTGTCTGGAATCAGTTCCTCAGGGTATCGTGTTAGGCCCACGTCAGGATGCTTTGTTTTTGGTGGGATTAGACAAGTCAGACAGTCGACGCAGCAGTTTACAGACACTGTGACTTTGCATTACAACTTCTCATCCTCACTCAGCATTCCTCATTCCCTCCTCTGTTCACCTTTAGCCCCCTATCTTCTCCGTACTCTTGTGCACTCCCCCTTACCTCATACCTCTCTCCTTGTTGAATCCTCTCGCTGCGCCTCCATCTCTCCCCCACTGTTGCCTCTCACCCCTTCAACCTTCCGGCATTTTTTTCTCTACTTCAATCAACAGCGCTCGTCAGTCTGAGCCTGGCCTGTCTCAGGCAATATGGCTGCCCCGACACAAGGGGGGAGGGAGGGACCAAGCATAACAACAGAGGAGGAGAAGAGAGAGAGAGACACGTTTGACAGTTACCTTGACACCCATGACAAACATTTTGTGCAAATCATAATGATGATGCTGAAACAGCAGCAGTGGATGGATAGGGAATGGAGAGTGTCAGAGAGGGAAATGGGGGAGAAAGAGAGTGATGATTGGTGGCAAAGATGTTGAAATGTCACGCTGTAACATTTATTTATTTTAAATTAGTATTTTTTTATAAACATTTTTCACAGTAACTATGTTTGCAACCAACACCTACTGGAGTCATCATTATTTGTTTGTTTTTTTCTTATACAAAGTTTGCTTTTGTATGTTAACGATAATTCACGGTTTAGCTCGAAGTGGAGTAGCTTAGTTTAGCATAAAGACTGAAATCAATGGGAAACAGCTAGCCTGGCTGACATTTTCTATATTTTTTGTGGTACACAGTGTATTTTTGCTGTTTAAGCTAACTGCCTCTGGGCTCTAGTGTTAGACCTAATGTGCAGACAACTTTCTCATGAAACTCAGCAAAAATAATATTTAGTGTTTTCCAAGATGTCAAAATAGTCTTCAATGATGTGACCTGTTTTTCTGGTGGGATTCTTTATTTGACTCCATCCATTTGAGCACTCAAACTAAATTGTTCAGCGATACATCTGTATAACATTTTGGTAATATTTCTCACAGCTTAAAGGTGGGGTAGGTAATTTTGGAGAAACCAGCTCGAGTGCGCTAGAATTTGAAAATACACAACCGGAAAAAATCTGCCACTTCCTTACAGAGCCCCTCCTCCAACACACACGAACGCGCACATGACCAATGAGGGCACGAGATAAGTTTGTGCACAGATGGAAGGCTGACAGGCAGGTAGGCCATCCAGTTATTTTAGCCGGGCCGGCTAAAATGATTGGTCGTGCTTTTTACAGTACTACGGCTTCCACAGATGACGCTTTTTTATGGATTTTTTGTCAAAGCACTTAAGATATTAATTGCTATCAGGATGTTAAGAGCATTCCATGGAATATAACAAGTGTATCTCGAGCCGGTTTCTCAAACTTACCTACCCCACCTTTAAGTTACATTTCCTTGATATTTGTTTCCATCTAAAACCCAAAGATAGTTAATTTAAAATTATAAGAAAATGTATAAATTTCAGAAGTACAAAACAATGTTTATCATTTTAGCTTAATGAATGACTTGAGATCACTCAAGTAACTGAGTGTTTAGTTCAGAAAAAATAAATGTTGGTTTTCAAAGTGCAGTCTGTCAGTCAATTTTCAGTTTTCTATCAAAACAATCCTGCACTTAAGGAGCCTTACTATAGTAAGTTTTATCTTGACTTCAGATGCAGAAATTGCACCTTAAAAGCCTCGCACTAATGTGATTGAGTCAGTCATACTCAAAGTGAGCATTTATTTCAGTATTGTTTTTCTTTCTGCTGCCAGAAACACATAAAGTGCAGTTATTAGTTCACTATGGAATGGAGGCAATACATTTTCAAATGTATGGTGGAGATTCATGGAAATGATTGGTGACAAATGAAAAATATCAAGATAAGTTGTTAACAGAAAATGTTTTTGATCAAGATAAATCGATGTCTCATGTGTGATATATTCCCCATAGTTGTATTAAAGAGAAAAAGAAAGGAGGGTGGGCGACAGATGTTAAATGAGACTGAAGAATGTGAGAACGGAGGATAGATGACTGAAAAAGAAGATGAGGGGGCCGATAAAAGAGACTGGATTTCAGAGTTTCACAGTCCCTAAGAGTTCATTGGTGCCCTCATCCATGAACTCACACTCACAGAGAGAAAATCTCATAGAAGAAAGGAAATTAAAACCACACGCAGCTTGGAGGGTGATAAACATTGTGCTCCCGTATGCCACTCGTATACTAACTCATCTGTGTTTGTGAGAGTGTGTTTGCTCGCCTCTGTTGTTTGCATTGAAGATGCAAGGTTAGACCAACAAGCCAATCACCTGCCAGTTTACAACTCGAATCACGCTACGCTTCGCCGTTCACAAACACCCTCTCTTACCACACTCCTCGCATACTCTCAGTTGAGGAATTCTAAAAATTGGTTTAACTAAGTGGGAGGTAAAGTAAGAGGAAAGCCAAGCAAAAGGAGATGCAGTGATCAATCTGTTACAAAAGACTTAACACAAGAAGAAACAGCGGAGATGGAGAGCTCACATCCAGCCTTTCTTATTTTCATGTCTCTGTGTAAATCCGTCCGTTATTTCTTCCTGCCTTCCTGTTGGGAAATTCAATTATCACAGCAGAAAGGCACTTCCTGTAAATTCCTGCAGAGTCTCTGTTACACACATAACATTGTGTTTAAAGAGCAACACTTGGTAACTAAAAGAAGTGGAAATGATGACTACACCCTCTAGTTACAGTATTAAAACATGGCTGAATTATTGGAACATGTGTGTGTCGTTCAGGCTTTTTTTCTTTTCTCATCTGTGCGAAAGATTCAAAGCACCATTTTGAATTATAGAGTGTGTGAGTCAGTTTCCTGTTACTGTGTAAACAATGTCTGGGTGTTACATTTTGACAATTTGATGTCACTATGTTACTGAAGTATGGAATCTAATGGAGGCGATTTCAGGCAGGGGGGGGGAAGTGTGTGGGAGAGAAACTCCATATGGAAGGAACTTTGGGATTTTAGCCTTTGCAGACCATTGACATGCACACATACAACAGGAAAGAGAAAACTCCCAAAAGAAGAAAAAGCCCTCTTTAATGATGCTTTTTCTAAGCACCACGTATTATCAAAGAAGACACAGGAGAGGGCACACTTTAGGAATCATTTATGAATTCTTTCTATAACTAAGAGTGGGACTGACTTTAGTGTTTCTTCCACTAAAGTGTATTTGTGAGTTAAGACTGGGTTATACGTCCCTTTCCCACAATATAATTCCATGAATTTAAGCTAAAATAACATACAGCAAGCATGTGGCTAACTAATCCCCCGCACAGGCATAATGTGCGAAGGCATTCAGAAAAGCACACACATTAAAATGCACTTCTGATATTCTATCCCACCTTTAAGGGCGGCATACGCTCCCTTTTCACTCGCATTTAAGGACTCTGGTAATTATCCCCCGTGTGATAGGGCTCCGGAGGAAAAAAGGAATAGAACAAGGAACATCTCATCCTTTGTCTCCCTCCCTCTTTAATTCCCCAGCTCATTGCCGAGTCATAACGTAACGAGGGGTTGAAATAAAAAGCTGTGCGAGGAAGAGGGGATTTGTCTATTTCTTCCTCTGTCGCCCTGCAAATGTGAATTTCTGGATTATGACGGATACACGTTTTATATTCTCTGCCTTTGTATCTCTTCCCCTTCCTTTTGTGTGTACGCCGCCTAAATACATCCTCTTAAAATTCTTCCAAGTCTTTTCTTAAAATGAAATGTGATGAAAGGCATCCTGAGGAAACTGAGGCCCTTTTCCATCCAAACTGAAGCTTATATTTGAACATAGTTACAGAGCAGAGTGTGTGAAATGCTAAACTTGTTGCAAATCAACATCTGTGCTCAACATTTCTGTCTCTTTTTTCCAGGCTGAACCAGAGGGCTTCTCCCATTTCCACCTCTACGTGTGCGCAGCCTTCCTGGTGAGGTGGAGGAAAGAAATTCTAGAGGAGAGGGACTTTCAGGTAACGTTCACACAAGACACAGGGGGCGACATAAAGCTTTATTTTCCTACATTGAGAGAGCCTTATATACTACATGTTTTCACACCCTGCTGGTGACCCTCATGGTGATGGTACATCATGATACATTGCTTATTTCCCTGTAAATGAATCTGGGTTTGTGTGGGAAAAACAAACAGACTGTAGAGGCTGTTCATGGCCTACATCCCTCTCCATTACCTCCCCGATCATTAACTGTGGGGTTCAGAAGTCGTTGTGAGTGCATTAGTAGATGACAGTAGACAGCTGCCAGAAGGTGACTTTGGTTGCCAGCTCACTGGGGGGACTTGGCTTTTTAACAGTAGCAACACAGTGTAATATCATCACACATAAACATCTTCTCTGCTCTTTGGCTACTCTGCCTTTTGCTCTTGTTTATCTTTTTTTGTATCTTTTCTTTCTCTTGTCTCACATTTTCTCTACTTGAAAGGGTGTCAACTTAAGTGCAGTTAAACCCCACGGCACCAAAACGCAACATCATGCAAGAAACAGCGTCTGAGGGCTTCTTAACATTTAATAAACTATGAATGTGTCATACCCACTTAACGGGAAGAAACTCAGCTTTCAGACAATATTAACCATTTTTAGTTAAACGAAACAAAAGGGTAATAACAAAGGCTCTGAATTAGCCCAGAGCGAAAAAATGCCAATACAATTAGTACAGAACTCAAGGTAAAATACCCTTATTACTTATCGGATCTGCACAAACAAGATATCAATTAGCAAGCTGAGATTCCACAGATTCCAGACATATAAGTATTACCACTGAGCGATCAGAACTCGAGACAGGGGAAGTAAACATAGACATCACAACACGTAGCGTTACGGAGCAAACACGGGAGAAATTCTTACCTATGCTGTTGTTCTGATCAAAAGTTGCGTTCAATGGCATTAAAACGATTAAAACGCTACTGAAGGTTAATCCATAGGTTAATCCAATGTGTCCGTCACTTTGAAATGATTACTGATAGTCCATCTTTATATTTATGGAGATTTCATATTAGCTGCTACTAGAGTGTATGACAGCTTCCTGTTTGGGCATTCTGGCTATGCATCACTCATTCACCAATGGGTAATGTTTAGATGGATTTTAGGAACTTCCCCTCGATTCTATTGGCTCTAACGGTTACAAAGAGGTGTCAATCATCAAAATCAAAATGCACCCAAACAGACACTATAATTTACATTTTTTTTACTATGTTCAATCTGAGTTTACTTTAAAATAAAACAATTCTATATTGATTCTGACTCTTCTACATCCAACTCACAGGTTTATCATTGCTTTGAGAAAAAAGATTGTTAATGTACCCCTTTTTAGAAGTGAAGATATAGGAAGTGAAGATATAGTCATTTGTTCTGGGAATGTCATTTTCGAGCCTGAGACCTAAAAAACAGGCTCGGGGCTCAACTGGTTAATGCTTGGGATCAATCTGGATTGACACCACTTATATTATTTCTATAGTCATTGTACACGCTGTCCTTCTGTCTTGTCATTGCTCACTCATAGGAGAAGTATAAAACGCCACAATAGGAGGGAATAAAAAAGACCAGATATGAGTCACTGTTGCAAACTGACCTTCTGTACTTTCAGTCGAGTGTAGTGGATCAATCCCGATGTTTAAACTTAAACTCAAACCGACGCTAGCAGCAGTCTGATGAGCAACGCTGTTTCTCTTCTCTGCTAGTTAAGTGTATCTTGTTCTCTCACATTCTCATGTGGCTGTGACTGACAGCGCCATTCATCCTCTTCTTTTCACAATTTTGCAATAACTCACATGGTTATCTATTCATCGGGACATAGGGACGTGCTGCCCTGATTCATTACACTAAAGTAAACATATGATATGATCAATCAATCATTGTCATCTCATGGTACTGTGTGGTCAACTGTATTATATTCACATTTACTAGAATGCAAGCACACTATACTCCGCATAGCGTTCCTGGCTGGCTCGCCATACTGACTACCGAGTCGTGCGCCAAGGGCAAAGTTTCCCTCCTCGTGAAGATGAGAGGAAAAGAGGAGGCGTAGAGGGAGGAGAGGATCAGGGTGCCAATGAGGGGGGTAGGGAGAGTGGTAAGAGACAAAAGCACACATTAAACTTTAGTGCAACGGAAGGGAAAAGGAAAGCTTTTTGTTATAGGGTGTAGCACTCTTTTGTCTAATGTTACAACCCCTACAACATTATTCTAAAGACACAATGTTACAGATGATTAATTAAAGCTGACTATGCATCGGGCTGCAGCTCGCACACGCTTGAGGCATAAAGGCTATTTCAAAATGCAAAACGATAAGCGATTATATATCAGTGGTTTCAAAATAAAAGTAAGCAAAACTGCTATCCTGAGGGTGATGTTTTTATTAACAAATGCTATATATGTGTACTCAGTGAGGACTTTTTTACAGAAAACATACAGTACATCAAATGTATTCGCATCAACCACAATAATATTTTAATTATCATGATTAATCACATTTTTTAAATACTAGTACTAAAATACCACTACTTCATTCTCACTTTGTGTTTTTTTTTAATGGATAATACACCCTTAAAGCACATCATGACAAATGGGAGAATAGCAGTTTCCCACAGTGTAAATAAATTATAAAAATAGCTAGTAATGACATGTCGGATCATAGCAACAGTGACTACTGCCGTCATGCTTGTTTTTATTGATCAAAACCAGTGCGCTGAGTTGTCTTATTTCAAACTTAAATGAGAAATGACCCTAAGCGTTTCAGAGGTCCTGCAGATCTGAGTTTTTCCCGTAGCTCCCCTTAGGCGCTAACGCTGAGGAAAAAAGGGATAAAAACCAATACAATTACAGCTGATACAGGGGGCGCACTCAATCTTCTGTCACTCCCACCATATAATAAATCAGAAGTCTTCAAAGGCGATAGCAGTGGAGGGTTGTGCTTCTAAATAACCTGTGTTTTTAGATGAAGGCCAGTTGATTAAAGCCGGTCCACCCACTGAGACACTGGAGGCTGTCGGAGTTTGAAGATGAGGCATCAACTGACTCATCTCTTCATACTTTTCATGCTCTTCGTACACCCTCTCCCCTATTCTCACTCCAGTTAAGATTGCTACTTTTTGTTGGATTCCATTTTCAGATTGAATTTCAGATGGCTATAGGTTTTTTTTAATGGATTTTTGCAGCGTTTTGAGCTATGCACACGGAGAAGCCTCGATAACCTTTATGTAGTTACAGTCTGCCCGCTCTTGCATTGAGAAAAAAAAGGCAATCCATGTATGGAAATATTCATTATTTGAACATGACTTCATATCATTTCAAACCTTTATTTATACAGATAAATCCCATTGAGATCATTGATCTCTTTTTCAAGGGAGACCTGCTGTAGTTCCACATGAAACATAAAAACATAAATAGAACAACAAAAGGACATCATACAGCATCATTTACATAATTATCCACATAAACAGGTACCAACAGCTTCCGATTGACTAGCATCCAACCGAGCTTTAAAAACATTTAGTGGCACCAGATTGTTCAGTTTCCATTTAATTTGCAGACTATTCCAAGACAGAGGAGCTGTGCATCTAAAAGCTGTCTTCCCTAAGACAGTCCTAGCAGTTGGCACATTTAATAAAACCACAGCATTCGATCTCAGGCAGTAGCCACTTACAATTTTCCGTGAGATCAGGGAGCAGATGTAGGATGGAAGTTTCCCTAACATGGCTTTGTATATAAAAATGTACCAGTGACTGAGCCTCCGTACAGTTAGTGAAAGCAAACCAGCCCTTGCATACAGGGTACAGTGATGGCAGGCACACTGAGAGCAGACAGAGCCTGTGGGGGAGTCAACAATGGCAGACTTGAGAATCATAATGAATTCAGTAAGCTCCTCTGCACCATCAGCTTGAAGACAGCTAGGTCAGCTTAATTTTTGATCACTAGAATGGGAGAAGCTTGTGACTTACATCACTGAGAGAAAAAGGGACGTTTAATCTGTGCGGTTTTAATTTATTCCCTTCTGCTTGTTAGCCATTCTAGCAGTATGAGTCTATGCAAGCCAATGCCCGTCCACCACTATAGCCCAGAATGGAATATCTCAATCAAATCAAATCAAGTTTTATTTATATAGCACATTTATAAACGATTTTTGGTCGAGCCAAAGTGCTGTACATGCATGTACAATGCATACTGCTTGGCTTGCCAGGGAGTTTTCTACAGACGTTACGAGTCCATGTCAGCTCAATGACTTTTGGTGAAGTGTATCAGACCTAGTACTCCAAAGTTTTCCCTTATCCAGTGAAGTATCCTCCCATCTAGATTAATTGGCACATTTTATTCAGAAATGCATAGTCCCCAGAGCATGGATTTGAATACTTTGGTGATCCCCTGAGTTTTCCTTTACCCATACCATCAGCCTTAACTGTACTTTCTGTGTATCACTCATTAGCCAAACTCACATGGTGAACTAGCTTAGTATTTTATCATCTTAACACCACACTGATGCTAGCATTGAGTTTAAAGCATCACTGTGAATACAACCTCATAAAGCAGCATGGCTGTATATTTTTAGTCTTGTTTTAAAATGTATCTCAGCTCATGGACAAAGTTCGAAAGGTTGCAAAAAAAAATACAAATATATATATATACAGTCCAACATCCAACATTCTCAGGCATGCAACCGTAGTGTCAGTCCAAACTTTGTTTTGTTCAGGACTTAGACTCCTAAATAATAAAACATATCATACAGGAGGAATGGTATATACTCCTCACATAATGCAAGAATCTTGAGAAAAACTTTCCTTATACTCTGTAATTCCTTTAGGCTCTGTAGGATCACCCTAAAAAGTGGTCTCAACTGCCATGAAGCACTTGGCCTTGATTAAAAACAGGTTTGTTATTAGGACATATCCTTATTTCCTATATTATAGTCAGGTTTAAGTAAACTTTCTCCTCTGTTTTCTAATCTTTTCCTGCTTCTTTTCTGG